ATATATATGCAAGCAAAGCGATTCATTCAGGCATTCGCACACGCAAAATAACAAAACTATAATGCATACGAATAAGAAGATGAACGAGATGAAGGACCGATGGAAAGAGAAAAATGAAGAAAATGAAATAATAAAACATCGGGCGAAAATGTAAAGCGATATCCAAAAAGCCAAAGAGAAATGACTCCGTATGATGGCTGATGGTGTGTGTGCTTTGCGCGGGATGGTTTGGTGTTTCGATGGTCCGCGCGCTATTACTTACAATACATGTTGATAGAAGCAAATGCATCGCATAATATTTTTGACTTTGAAACGTCCTTGAGAACAACGAATGTTGTTGCTTCGAAATAGTGTGCATTTGCAACATGGTACTTTGTGTGGGTTGATGGCGCATTTCAAATCATATTGTGCTGGTTCACATTCAACAAAAGCACAAAGCACAATGTACTCAGTTCAGTCACACAGTTAACGATGCATATACATCAACTATAACTATATCCTTTTTTTTCTGTATGTTGAAATGCACATACTGTATGTTTGGCTGTGCACTTTTATATCGAAATGGTTTTATGAGTTCATTTTCAAAGTTCATACATAATTATTTCGATGACTTTCAGTTATCGTCTATTTTGTATGATATTCAGCGGGTACAATGTCGTGCACGCATACCATATCGTACTTGGGTATTTCGTTTTGGAACACGTTTCATCGACCAACCAACAACAAAAAAAAATCGAATAGATGAACAAAAGAATGAGAGAGAGAAAAAAAACACGAACAACGATAAAAAGTGCTCACTTCAAGCAACGTTACAATCAAAAGTTTTCTTTTACAAATACACGTATATATACAAACTTTGGGTGTGAAAAATTCCTGAGAAAAATATGAAACGCATTCGAGAGCTGAATATACAAAGAGAAAGATTAAGAGAGTGGTGCTAGAGGTGTTGGTGGTGGTGTGTGTGTGCGTGTGCACAAAATGAATCAGCAAACAGGATAAAAAAAAAACGCCAGAGCGAGATAAAAGGCAACGATTTTCATTTGAGTGGCAGGAAATAAACCAGTTAAAAACAATAAACGAAACGACAATTTGTAATGATTTTTCCCGCTCTCTCTCTCTTTGACGTGCGACAATCATTTGATGAAAAAGCTAAAATGGAAATATATACAAAACACAGAACACTTCATAAATTCAACAAACGAGAAAGTATATTTTAACGGATTTAGCGGATTAGCAGAAACATACAAACGTACAAGTTGGAAATTATCGTTTTTCTCCGTTGTTTTTTATGTTCTTTGTTCAGATGGATGTGAATGAGAGGTATAAATAGCGAGGAAAAGGAACAGAAAAAAAACGAGATTGAAAATGGCCAGAAAAATAGTGACTAACTTAAAAGCACTTTTAACACGATTTCGATGTGCGAATGAGAGACGACAGAATGAGAAGTATCTGCCGCTGCCGCTCCAGTACACATCAATCGTTTCCTCGCTGTCAAATTGAGTGCTTCATATTCTAGTGTACATTCTTAGTGAGAGTGAATTGCATCATAGACCTCGTACACCGGACACACCGATAGAGACAGATAGAGAAATATACTCATTCGCATTTCGAACGTACAAAATATATTGATGTTTATATACAATTTGTATTTTTGCCCGTTATGTTTTCCTTTAATCGCAAATCCATACACATTCCGTTGCTATTACGGACAGAAAATATATGAACTGCTATTGAACAAACGGATGACTTTTTTTCAACGCTTTACGTTTTTTTTTTGTTTGGTGGTGGTGGTGTTTGTTGTTGTGCTCTTTGTATTCAACTGACAAGGAAAACGAAAGAAGTGCCCGTTAAAAATGTCAATAATTTAAAATTAATGACCTTGAAAACAAATGGGCTTTCATACATATTTGCTGGATTTTCGTTTCAGCTGCACACCTCGGCACAAAACGACCGTT